GAGCGTTCGGGAGCCCTTCGCCGGGGTCTCGTCCGCTTGGAGCAGCCAGAGCTGCTCCAAACACCGGGGCGGCGCCGCCTCTCTGGGGAGCTGGCCCGGGACCCTTCTCCCGACCCCTCTCCGGCGGTTTTTGCGCCTCTGGAAGCGAACCCCCTGCCGCGCGCGGCGGGCTGGACCCGGGCGCGCCTCCGGAACGCCGCGGGGCCGCCGCGCCCGGCCGGATCCTCCGTCCTGCTCCTGGGCGGACAGGGACAACCGCAGGCAAGGTAAGTGGCCCGGACGGGGTTGTCAAGAGGATTACCAGGTTGGGCTTGACACGAGTCGAGCAACAATCTGCTCAAGTCTTTGAGAACGACCGTGCGTCTTTCCTTGGCTTTTCAGGGCGCTCGGAGAGCTGCGGAGGATCCAGGGGCTTGGAGGAGCGAGACATGCATTTTCAGCTGCGTCCCAGAAGGGGAGACCTCTCTGTCGCCGCCAGGGAAGCTACAGCCCCGAAATGTGACTGCAACTGACTGGCTGGGCAGGGGCCGGGAAGTCTCTGGAAGGTTGGCGGAGACTATGCCCCAAAGCCGGCGCTTTGCTTGGGGAGTTCTGGGGCCACCCGGCACCCATGACAGCGACCCGAGGCAGGGCGTCAGAAAGCAGTTGTAAAAAGCCAGAGGCGCCTTCCCGGAACGGACTCGCCCCGCCCGGGGAGGCTCCTGCCTCTCAGTTGCTGCGGCCTCCGACGGAATGTTGGTGAGGCCCCGGGCCCCGGGGAGCTGCTGGGGCGTTGCGGGGTGCTGCCCCGAGAGGGAGGACTCCTGGAAGTCGGCCTGACCCCAGACCCCTGCCTGGGACCTCGAGGGCAGTCGGAGCCCCGAAGGCGCTGTTCTCCAGGAGGATGAGGACTCTGAACACCTCCACCATGGCCGGCGCCCCGGGGCTGGCGGGGAAGAGGGACTTCTCGGTCCGCATCCTCACAGCCTGCTTCCTGTCGCTGCTGATCCTGTCCACCCTCCTGGGGAACACGCTGGTCTGTGCTGCCGTCATCAGGTTCCGACACCTGCGGTCGAAGGTGACCAACTTCTTCGTCATCTCCCTGGCTGTGTCAGACCTCTTGGTGGCCGTCCTGGTCATGCCCTGGAAGGCGGTGGCCGAGATCGCCGGCTTCTGGCCTTTCGGGTCCTTCTGTGACATCTGGGTGGCCTTTGACATCATGTGCTCCACCGCCTCGATCCTCAACCTCTGTGTGATCAGCGTGGACAGGTACTGGGCCATCTCCAGCCCCTTCCGGTACGAGAGGAAGATGACCCCCAAGGCAGCCTCCACCCTGATCGGCGTGGCGTGGACCCTGTCCGTGCTCATCTCGTTCATTCCCGTGCAGCTCAGCTGGCACAAGGCGAAGCCCCCGGGCCCCTCGGCCGGGAACGCCACGTCCCTGGGCGAGCCCATCGACAACTGCGACTCCAGCCTGAGCAGGACCTATGCCATCTCATCCTCCGTCGTCAGCTTTTACATCCCCGTGGCCATCATGATTGTCACTTACACCAGGATCTACCGGATTGCCCAGAAGCAGATACGGCGCATCTCGGCCTTGGAGAGGGCGGCGGTCCACGCCAAGAACTGCCAGACCACCACGGGCAATGGGAAGCCGGTCGAGTGTCCTCAGCCGGAGAGTTCTTTTAAGATGTCCTTCAAAAGGGAGACCAAAGTTCTGAAGACCCTGTCGGTGATCATGGGGGTGTTTGTCTGCTGCTGGCTCCCCTTCTTCATCTTGAACTGCATCCTGCCCTTCTGTGGGTCTGGGGAGACCCAGCCTTTCTGCATCGATTCCATCACCTTTGACGTGTTTGTGTGGTTTGGGTGGGCTAATTCCTCCCTGAACCCCATCATTTATGCCTTTAATGCTGATTTTCGGAAGGCATTTTCCACCCTCCTTGGATGCTACAGACTCTGCCCCGCGACCAGTAATGCCATCGAGACAGTGAGCATTAATAACAACGGGGCCGTGATGTTTTCCAGCCATCATGAGCCACGAGGCTCCATCTCCAAGGAGTGTAATCTGGTTTACCTGATCCCGCATGCCGTGGGCTCCTCCAGTGACCTGAAGAAGGAGGAGGCGGGGGGAATAGCCAAGCCTTTGGAGAAGCTGTCCCCGGCCCTGTCGGTCATCTTGGACTATGACACCGACGTCTCTCTGGAGAAGATCCAACCCATCACACAAAATGGACAGCACCCAACCTCAACTCCTGGGTGAACCCTGCCACGCATGCTCATCCCGAAAGCTAGAGGCGATTTCTCTGGGGCTTGCTGTTGGGAAACTAAGGTAGGGTGAGACTCGGAGGTGTCAGGAGAGCCCTCTGCTGCTTTCCAACACACGACAAACTCTCTTTTCAAATACATTCCGGTGTGTTTTCTGTGTTGTTCATAGTCAATCCAACAGGAACACTACAAACATGGAAGGCTACAAAAGTGTTTTTAGAAACTTATCCTTATCTTAGGACTCAAAAAGTAGGGCAAGGAATCAACGACGGACAGTTTCACTTAACAATCCAACCTTTCTGGGAAGGAAACAAGAAGGGGTGAGTTTGCAGTAATACAAACAGGTGCTAACACTGTTCCAGGCAAAGTTTTCAGATTGTAAAAGGTAGGTGCATGCCTTCATGACTCATTTCTGAAAGATAATCGAGGCTTACATTAGGAATGGGAATTTTTTCTTCTTCTGGAATTGAGAGATGCTCTGTTGATACCGGTTTTATTTATTTATTGTATTATATGGATATTTTTAATTTATTATAATAAATCTATATTTATCATATTTAATAGGATACACTGTTGAGTTATCTGAGACCTTCCAACCACGTTTTTGTTCATTTAACTAGCACTTTATAAGCCAATGAAACGAACATAGACTCTGTGAGATTCTAAACGCTCTTGTGTAACTTTTGGAGACACAGCAAAGACGGATAGGAAAAAACGTTATGGCCACGAATAAATATGAAGTGAGCATTGACAAGTGCTGTGAAGGCTTTCCTTTTTTCCTGAAAAGATTTTGAAAAACCTTTTTAAAAGCCTAGTTACCATTGTGTTCAACATTTTTTCTTTTAAATGACAAAGACTTTCCCCCGGGGCCTTTGCAGTTCTGTAAATATCTGAACTAAAAACCAATTTCAGAGAAACCCAACTTTAAATTTATGATCTTAGGTGGTAATAAAAAGTATATGCTGCTTTGTACTTATGTAAAATAATTGGCCTCTCTGTTTTTTCTCATTTCGTGTGTCAGATAGCTTTTCTGAACCAAACAAATGACTTTCCTGGATAGAGAGGTATAGTGCAGATGGTGGTTCACGGCAGCCCCACTGTTGGACAAAAGCAAACCCTGCGTCTTCATCTTGTCAGATCAAACTAAGCCACTCAGCAGGGCTACTTTTTGCAGCACTTTAATCTGAACTTAGAACTGCTTTAAAAAAAAAGAGTCTTTAAGTGTTAATGGTATACTAACGCGTAGTGCCTCATTATCGTACTAAGACACTTCTATGGGTGGAAGAAACAGGAGAACCCTTCTCTTTGGGTGTGTTAAGTACCCCAAAGCCATCAGCAAATACTTTGTGCTTTGGAATCAAGTTTCCATGTCATCGCCCGGACTGTAAAAAGTACCATAAGCCTCCCTTGCCAGATGCGAACTCGTGTGAGGCATTTCAGCAGTTTCTTTGAAATGTTTACAAAGTATTTTTCTTGATAAGCAATTTACTGAACATTTAGATGAAATTGGTGAAAAGAACAAAAAAATCTACAGAAAAATATCTCCTGCATCAGGTCTGTGTTCTTTATGTATTGTGAATGTTTTCTTAATTTTATTGGCTGTATGCTTTCTTACATATAATAAAAATATTTTGTGAACTCAAATCAATCCTGAATGAGTTGTGTTGCATTTGCTAAATGTACTTTAAAGTCTAGGACATGTGAGACCTTTATATAAGGAAGCAAACGTGGGCATTTTCAAAATATATTCCTTTTTTTTTCTTTAATGGAAATTTCTTCTGTTGTAAATGCCACATGTTGCCTTTGAATATTTAAACAGAAAATATTTTATGATTTGGACTACATACTCTCTTTTTCCGTCTATCTTAACAATTGTTTTTGAAAATAAGCGTTTCATCACTTAAATAATTAAGCTTTCTAAAATCTCTGCTCTTTCTTTCAAAGAGCCTGTTTTAAATAAAATGAAAATATCAGCGAAGACTGTGGCTTGCTATGGGGTTGTTGTGGACTCACGGCTGACGGCAACCATTGCATGTGTGTTGTCGGTTTTCAAAGTAAAATATAATGAGAAGTTTTTTTTGTTTTTTTTTTTTTCTGGAGAGAAGATGCAGGTCATGATGCTGGGCTTATCCGAATGTCTCACAAGTCACATCCTTAGGTCGGGCTAAAGCTACTTGGTTAATGAGCTAAGCCATTTTTTTTCCATCCTAGAAAGGAGCATGTCTGAACAGCAGGTGATGTAGAAATTAAAGGTTCAGTTTATAACTTGGAACATCATACAACAGATGGTGTGTTTTCAAATTCCATGTTTGTCTTCCCTGGGCTTTGGCATATAATGAACATATCTAGGATGAGCACCCATAAAGCGTGATGCCTTTTCTTTCTGCTTCATAACTTTCTGGGTGCCTTTATTCTTTGAAGTCTGATTTTGTTCTGAAATTAGAAGTTCAGGAACACAGGCTACCATGCTCAGGCAGAGAGCTATTATGTCCAGCCAATGACACAAAGAACAAAAGCTTTTACCATTGATCTCATCGACAAAAGGGTAAAGAGTGACCGATATGTCTAGAAATTATATTTATTTTTTTTCTTTTTATTTATTTGTTTATCTCAATAGCTTTAGGGGGTACAAATAGTTTTTGATTATATGGTTGCACTGTAGAGTGGGAAAGAAGTCTGGGCTTTAAGTGTACCCACCACCCCTACCTGTGCACACTGTACCTGATGGGTAATTTAGAGATGATATTTAAAAACTGTAAAGGTCAATATGCTTTGAACGAGACTGCACTTTACGTTCCCGGCAGATCGGATTGATAAAGAGCATCTTATGAAATGTTAATTTTCCTGAAAGAATCTCTCAGAGAATTTGATTTATATGAAAGCAAAATTACAATATGACTTGCATTTTATGGTTAACTATAGCGATGAGCCTTAATAATGCTAAATATATGTAAAACATTTTACCAAGAGAAAGACAGTTTGAAAGAGGTGTTCTTTTCTCCTTTCCGTCTAAGAAGACTCCTTCCCTAATCAAATAGATACACAGCTCTTACTGGCTACAGAAACAGCAGGAAGTCACTGGAAGGGGAGCTGGGCGCTGGGCTTCAATTGGTAGATTTTGAGTTTATTCAGAAATGATTCTCTTGGGATCTAAGCAAGTCACGCTCTCTGAGTCTCAGTTGTCCCGGCCTATTAAGTGGAAGGAAGAAAAACTCTGTATTAAACTCTTCAGTGGGGAGATGAGGTTCACCCCCAAAAGCAAATCCTGGTGGGCAACTTCAGTCACTTTCTGAACTCTCCGCTCTCTGGGGACCCCTGGCAGGATTTCTCCCCAGGCCTGCATCACCAGCATTTTAGTCTATTTCCCCCACTTCCCCAAGAGCCAGTCTGCAGTTGGGAGCAGAAAGACTAGGCTTTATTTAAGACCAACGAGGTTTCACATTACAGTTATGACTTTCAACCTGTGTGAGCATAAACAAATGTTTTGCCCTCTCTAAGCCTGTTTGCTTGTATGTGAAATGGAAATACAATGTGCAGGTTTTTGTGAGGGGTAACGAAGCCAATGTCTACAAGAGCATGAAGCCCAGTGAAATGTTGGGCTCGTTGATTATTTGCAAAACCTCTACTTTGAAGGAGTGAATCACTTAATATTTTTTTGTATTAGCAATAATGGATTTGCTATGTATTTGGCTTGTCTCACGCTTGCTTGGCGCAGATGGAAATGACTTTTAGAGTACACGTGATCTGGGATTTTCACAGACCTCACTATCTTTTTCTGTGGCTATCTGGTATTCCAGAAGCAAGTGGCTTTTTATATTTTGGTGGTTAAGAACATCGCCTTAAGTTACCACTAGATACTGAATAAATTTGTCCACAATATTTCATTCTATAAAATATCTTTATCTCATAGAATTTGTTTCAGGAATAATGAACGCAGTGATGGCCTGTGGCTCTGGGATGTTACATTTAAGACTTGCTGTCATGCATGATCTGGTTACTGTGATCATTGGAAGGAACGAACCTGGTGGGCTGTGAGATTATAGCACTCTGCAGATTAGATGCACCTCTCTGGGTTTGTTTGAGATTTCCTGGATAGAAAAGATGACAAACCAACCTGTTTATTTTGTGGAGGATTGAGAGGATGGTGAGCATTATAGCACAGATAAAATCTCTGCGACTTTGTGACCAGGCCAATCTATATTACCTCCTGTCACGTTAAGTAACTTCCATGTGATGCACAGAATTTAAAAAGGCAGCATTTGGATTTCAGTCTGTTACATCATTCAAGATTTGGGAGTTGTAATTTAAATAGTATTAGAAGCTCAAGCATAATCTCTGATTTAAAAGGGTTTAACTTTCTAATCACTATGAGAAAATACACAGAACCAGTTGGAATTTTTTTCATGCTCTACCAGCTCTCAAAACTGGTAAATGTTTTCAGCCATTGGAAAGGATCTGCCCTGAGCTGGGTCCCCGGAAATGAGACCCTCTCTCATACCTCCGCTGGCAGAAATGTTAGCCAACGGGCAATGGTGATGGGGCCTAGGAAGACTGAATTGTAGGGCAAGACGTTTCATTTCAAGAAAAAAATAGGCAAAACATGCCTTTAGAACAGGGGTGTGTGTGTGTGTGTGTGTGTGTGTGTGTGTGTGTGTGTGTGTGTGTCTGCAACAAGAGGATGAGATGAAATGATCTCTAAGCTATTTTCTGGCTTGGAAAAATGAGATATGAGACCCATGATAGGCAAAATATGACTGATAGGTTCCTCCTCTGATAGGTTTTTCAAGTATTTACTCTCTTGGCTATTGGGAAACAAATAGAGTGATACTTATAAAATGCAAATTTAATGGTGTTATGCCCTTGTTTAAGATTCTTCAATGGCCTGAGTGTGGAGACTCGGCCTGTCATCCCAGAACTTTGGGAGGTGAAGGAGAGAGGATTACCTGAACCTAGGGGTTCAAGACCAGCATGGGCAACTTGGTGAGACCTTGTCTCTACGATAAATCACAAAAACTAGCCGGACATGGTGTTGTGTGTCTGTAGTTCCAGCTAACTGGAAAGCTGAGGTGGAAGGAGCTGCTGGAACCCAGCAGGTGGAGGCTATGTTGGCCTTGAGCATGCCACTGCACTCCAGCTTGGGCGACAGAGCGAGACTCCAACACAAAAAAAAAAAAAGAAGACCGGGCTTGGTAGCTCAGTCTGTAATCTCAGCACTTTGGGAGGCTGAGGTGAATGGATTACCTGAGCTCGTGGGTTCGAGACCAGTTGGGGCAATGTAGCGAGACCTGGTCTTTACAATAAATCAAAACAATTAGCCGGGTGGGGCAGCGCACGCCTGTAGTTCCGGCTACTTGAAAGGTTGAGGCGGAAGGATGGCCGGAGCCCAGCAGGTCACGGCTGCAGTGGCCGTGAGTGTGCGACTGCCCTCCAGCCTGGGCTACAGAATAAGACTCTGACTGAAAAAAATGATTCTTCAATGGTTTCTGGTAACTTTCAGGAAAAAAAGTAGTAAGTTTATTCAAAGCCCTTTCTGATCCTACCTCTGTTGCCTCAGCTTATTGTCATTACCCCATCAACACTGTCCTACAGTCATTCTGAACACTGCAAGGTGCCTGGCATCTTTCCTTGTTTTTATGGCTTTGCTGTCCTGGTCCCTCTGCCTGGAACACCCTTCCCTGTTGGCTCTGCCCGCTCCTATTCATCCTTTAAGATTCAGTCAGGCCTGATTGCCAGAGTCCTTCCTCGGCACCTTCTTCCCACCTCTCCTCCTCCTCTTTCTTTCGTTTTTTTTTTTTTTTGTTGAGTTGGAGTCTCATTCTGTCACTCAGACTGGAGTGCAGTGGCCACTCTCGGTCACCGCAGCCTCGACCTGCTGGGCTCCGGCGATCCTTTCGCCTCAGCCTTCCAAGTAGCTGGAACTACAGGCGTGCGCTACCAAGCCCGGCTAATTTTTTGATTTATTGTAGAGATGAGGTCTTACCAAGTTGCCCAGGCGGGTCTCGAACCCATGGGCTCAGGCAAGTCACTCACCTCAGCCTCCCAAGGCGTGGGATTACAGGCTGAGCCACTGAGCCCGGCTTCCTCTTATTTCTTTCCGAGGGCTTGCCACACTGCTATGAAATCATCTCCTTATCATGGTTCCCTTGACGGTGAGCATCTTGAGTGCAAAAGCTGTCTCATTTTTTCTCTCCCTTCTCTTTATATATTTTTAAGCATTCAGCACACTGCCTGACTTATAGGAGTTGCTCATTAAATCTTTGTTGAATGAAAGAAAGAATGAACAAATCAAAACAGGGAATGCTGGAGTCATGATGTTTGTGAAGTTTATTTTTGGGGTATTTGTGTAGACCTGTTGGACTCTGTCTAATGGCTCTGGGTACAGTGAACTCTGAGGCCTTCAGCTGCCTGGGGTCTGGCATGGTTGTATAGAATTAATTGCATATATATACCTACATGCATGTATACATATGTGTGTGTATATATATACACATATATATGTGCATGTATATATGAATACATACAATTTAATACAATTTTCAGTTAATATTCTTCCAGGAGCACTTTATATGATCCAGACCACATGCTGGATTCCAGGAGCACAAAAATGGATCAAATACCATCCCAGTCATAGAGGAGACAGATATGCAA